TCAGCCCTCAGGAGGCTGAGGCAGGAAGATCACCACAGGTTCAAGACCAGCCTGAACTACATGCATAGTAAGAGGGTGTCTCAAAAAAAAAAAAAAATTAGAATAAGTACATGCCGGGCATGGTGGCGCACGTCTATAATCCCAGCACTCAGGAGGCTGAGGCAGGAGGATTGGAGGATCGCTGTGAGTTTGAAACCAGCCTGGTCTACATTGTGAGTTCCAGGTCAGTCTCAACTACATAGTGAGACCCTGTCTCAAAAAACCAACAAAAAAAAAATTAATACAGACAGCAATACACCAACTTTTTTTTTTTTTTGGTACCAAGATTGGACCTAGAGAGTTTAGTCTATATCTCTCAGCCCTTTTTATTTTTTCATTTTGAGAAAGGGTATGGCTAAAGCCCAGCTGGCCTGGAACTTATGATCCTCTTACCTCAGATTCCCTAGTAGCTGAGATTACAAGTGTGCACCACCATGACTGGTTAACATTGATTATTTGATGCTATTTAAGAGTTTCCAAATTGTTTACATCCTATAAATATTTCAGATTGGTTTTAAATTGTCTTTTTTAAGTAGCCAGGTATAGTAGCACACGCCTGTAATTCCAGCACTTGGGAGACTGAGACAGGAGGATCGCCATGAGTTCAAGGCCAGCCTGGGCTACATAGAAAGACCCTGCCTCCTGAGAAAAAAAAAAAAATTGTTTTATTCTAAATTTTTTTTCTTTCAAGTTTACATACTTTTACAAATACTGGGTGGGATTTGATTCAACTCTTCCTAGTTAGAAATGGTGAATCATCGAATTTCCTAACTTCCAGTAACTGAGATGAGACCATCCGTGGCGTGTTCCAGCTCTGCAGGGTGGCTGGCACGTGGCTGAATGGCTGCTCTGTCCCCTTGCATGGTGAGCACCACGTGACCTGTGGGAGCACCCTGATCCTACTGAGCGGAGCTGGAAGCTTCTTTTGACTGTGGTTTACTGCTGCATGAAGAGAGCAGTAAATTCTCCCTGGGAGTTTCCAGTCTACACTGAATTGTAACACAGACAGCTATGTTGACAGCATGACAAGTTAAACCAATAAGTATTTACATCACACACAAACAACAAGGAACAATGATAGCATGATGGTGCGCACCTGGGATCTTAGCACTGAGCAGGCTGAGGCAGGAGCATCATCACGAGTGTGAAGCCAGCCAAGGCTATATAGTGAGTTCATGGCCAGCCTGACCCTGTCACAAAAAAACAAACAAACCCACAAAAAACAACAAAGAATGGCCCAGGCCCTGTGACACCACCAGCCTCTGGTTTTCAGGGCTAGTGTGAAACAGGCAGAGCCATAACTAAGTGAAGTAACCGTGGCCTTGTCCCTGAATACACACATCACAGGTTTCCAAAATTTAGATAATGGCTTTCAGAGGCTGAACTTTCGTTTTTGAGACAAGGTCTCACTGCGTAATCCAGGATGGCCTTGAACTCACCATGTAGCAAAGGCTGGCCTCAAATTCAAGACAATCCTCCTGCCTCAGCCTCCCGAGAGCTGGTATTACAGGCGTGTGCCATAATAACCAGCCATTCTTTGCCAGGAGGTCTCGGTCTCATCTGAGCTGGATGGCAAAGAAGGAGTAGGAGACCAGATGATTGCACATAACACAGTGGCTGAGGGAGCTCCCGGGACACTCCTGATCCCCAAAGCTATGTGGAGGGCTCACTGCCTGGCACAGACCCTCATGCTGGCGGGATTTCTGCATACACATCCTGAGGACCCTGGGGCAGCAGGCGTTGCCCTCTCCGCGGCCTGGTGACTGCGAGGTCCATCTTCCTAGTCCTGCTCATGCTCCTGCCCCCACACCCGCTGCCTCTCTTTCCCAAACAGGAGGTGCCAGGTTGAGAAAGATGGGGCGATAGGACTGATGACAGACACAACGTCTTCCCAAACGGAAAAGGAAACCCATTCTTCAGGAGCAGAGTTGACGTCAGGGACTGGGGGGCCGCTGCTCTGAAGAGCACTCTGCTGTCCCAGGCAGGAAGCACCAGGAAATCCTGAGCCGAGGGCCTGTGCCTCGCTGTCTGTGATTCACTCCATGAACTGAAAACCATGCTCCTCTCCCGGCTGTCTTGGGAGCAAGGGTCTCGCCCAGACATAGAGCTGCTAGCAAATCTGAGAGGAAGACAAAGTGGCCAGTCCCAGCAGCATGCCTAGCACTAGCCACTGGGCCCAGCTCCCAAGCACTTGGGAGGCTGAGGCAGGAGGATTGCTTCAAGTTCAAGGCCAGCCTTGGCTACACAGTGAGTTCAAGCCTCCCTGGACTACATAGTAAGACCCTGTCTCAAAAAACAAAATCAAAGAAAATAATCTGTTTTGTCTTTCTCTACTGAGGCCTTTCATTTCAGATCAACCTAATGAATCCTGCCATAAGACTCTTATTTTGAGTGGGGCCTTTGCAATAAGCTGCATCTCCAGCCCATTGATTGATTGATTGATTGATGGTAGGATCTCATTAAATTGTCCAGGCTGGACTCAAACTTACAATTCTCCTGCTTCAGCCTCCCAGAGTTCTGGGATTACAGATATGCATCATCATACCCAGTTTAGGGTCATGATTTAATAATTATACACGCAGGCATGCGCGTGCGCACACACACACACACACACACACACACACACACACACACTCCTGGGCTCAGTATCTCACATTTGAAATTTCAGCTGCCTGGGAGGCTGAGGCAGGCAGATCAGGATTGAGACCAGCCTGGCAACTTACTTAGACCTTGTCTCAAAATAAAACATAATAAAAAGAGCTAGAAACCAGGCATTATGACTTACACCTCTAATCTCAGCATTCTGGAAGGCTGAGGCAGAAGGTTCAAAAGTTGGAGCTCAGCCTGAACAATTTAGGATTTTTTTTTTTTTTTTTTTTTTTTTTTTACTCAGAATCTTGTGTTTGCGAGGCAGGCAGCAGCACCACTGAGCTACATCCCCAGCCTGACAACTTAGGAATTTAACAAGACTCTCTCAGAACAGAAAATAAAAAAGGGCTGAGGAGGTGCCCGGGATTTAGCTCAGCGGTTCGGTGGCCTGCCTTGCAAGCGCAAGGACCCGAGTTCAATCCCTGGTACCAAACAAAAACAAACAAACAAACAAAAGGGCTGAGGATGTAGCTCAGTGCAAAGGCCCTGGGTTCAATACCTCATATTAAAAAATAATAACAGTTTTTAAAAAGAGGTGTGGCTCAGAGGTAGAGCACTTGCCTAGCAGGTGGGAGGCCCTGCGTTTGATCCCTAACACTGCAAAACTTATAAATAAAAGGGGATGAAGAGGCCGAGCAGCCACCTCCTGCCTTCACAAATGTGGGCCTCTGGGTCCCGGGCTCACCAGCTGTTCTGGGGACCTGCGGCTGGCGGGTAGGGAACAGGGCCTGGACACTAAGGGTGGGGAAACCCACCTTGGGCCTTTGCCCTCCTTTCCGTTCCTGCTCAGTGCCCAGCTCCACCAGCCCGACCTTCTCACCCCTCAAACTCCTTGGAACCTTTTATTTGGCCTCTTTGGGTGCGGGGGGGGGGCTCACATTGTAGTTCAGGCTGCCCTTGAACTCACTATGTAGCCCAAGCTGGTCAAATCTGTGGTGATCCTCCTGCCTCAGCCTCCCAAGGGCCTAGAAGCAACTTCCTAACCCAGAATTTTTATTTTCTGCCTAGGAAAGGAGTTTGTTTTCCTTCTGTTACTCACCACAATCTAATCGCATTTCTTGGTTTAGTGTATTTTTTTTCCCTGTCCCCAGCAGAATGTAACTCCCTAAACCAGGTATAGTGACACACACCTGTAATCCCAACACTCTGGGAGGCAGAGGCAGGAGAATTACAAGTTCAAGCCCAATATAGGCAGGTTAGCCAGATCCTGTACCAAAATAAAAAATAAAATTGCTGATCAGGGCCAGGCATTTCATTTAGCTCAGTGGTTCTGCAGCCTGCCTCACAAGCACAAGGACATAAGTTTGATACCCAGTACCAAAAAAAAAAAAAAAAATGCCGATCAGTCGTGGTGGTGCATGCACACTTGTAATCACAGCCCTTGGGAGGCTGAGGCAGAAGGATCTCTGAGCGTTCGAGACCAGCCTGGGCTACACAGTGAGACCCTGTTTCAAATATGAATAAATGAATATTAATTTAAAATTAAACAAGGTTTCTGGGGATGTAGGTCAGTGTTAAAGTGTCCCTGGGATCCATTCTCAGAAGAAAGTGTGAGAGAGACAGAGACCCGTGTGCTCACCAAGCTCCCAGAGGGGGCTGAGCTCTGGCGGCCCCACCTCTAGGTGAGGAGAGAGACATCAGTTTACTCTCCCACTACTGTCAGGCAACAATGGCTCAGCCTCCTGGGGACCTTTCTGATATGCTGTTTGCAGACCTCCAGGCTGGGGCCCACCTTTAGGGCTGGCTCATGCGAGCCCTTGGTCTTCTCTCACACCTCGGCCCTTTTCTTGCCTTCAGGCTCCCAGGTCTTGCTCCCTGACTAGGCTGGTACCACAGCTCTACCTGGCATCAGGGCAGCCTCTGTTCCCTCCAAGCAGGGGTCGGCACGCTCCCCTCTCCCTCCTGCATCCCTCTTCCTCCCCTTCCGGTCTCTGCAGTCAGGTGCTGGAGGCAGCTGGAACCCAGGGCCTCACACATGCTAGACAAGAGCTCCACCACTGAGCCACACATCTAGCCCTTTTCACTTTGTTTTGAGACAGGGTCTGAGTTGGCTTTTCCTTTCCCTTCCTCTCTCTCTCTCTCTCTCTCTCTCTCTCTCTCTGTTTTTCTTTCTCCAGGGTCTCCTGTAAATTGGCTCCCTACCAGCATCATTCTCATTCTCCTGAAGGGCCAATTAGCAAGTATTTTACCCTGCAAGCCAAATGGTCTTGATGACAACTATTCAACTCAGTGCAAGCGCCAGGAGAATGAGCCTGGCTGTCTTCCTTAGAAGACTTCATTACTGACAGAAGCAGTCTGTAACCCCTATGTACCTGGCGTATTCGCTGCCAGCCCTGGGTGGCCCTAAAACCGGTAGAGATGAGGTCTTCAGGGACCAGGAGCTGGGTCCCTAGGAGATGCAGGCACCCGGAGCAGCTGAAACAAATTTGCTCAGCCCCGAAGCTCAAAATCGGTAACCTCCTGGCAGGGTGGGAGCTGGTCAAGGTCTTCCTTTCAACTTATCGTTGAAACTTGTCAATGTCGAAAACCTTGTCATCAGCAAAACAAAACACCTATTGCTCAATGGCTTCCTGACCACAGAGAAGCCCAGGACTTTCTGGCATTTGATCAACACGAAGCCAGAACCCAAATTTCTGGAAATGCCTCCCGGGCGGAGCATCCTGGTTTGTTTCTCTGTCAACGCGAGGATAAATGCAGCTCTCAGTTTCCGGGGATTCTCAGCCCCTTGTGGTGTGGCCAGCAGCCAGCGCCACCCCAGCGAGGAGCTGCAGGCAGCCCATGGCTGCTTATGTCCCAGGGAATCTCAGGCGCCCAGACCCTGTGAGGATTTGGAGGGCTCCTCTGCAGGACGCCACCGTGCCACCCTGCCATCTCCCTGCCCAGCCCCACCGTGAAGCAGAAGCCAGAGGCACAGGGCTGGCGAGGGCTCTCCTTAGGACCAGTCTGCTTGAGCAGGGGACGAATCCGACAGGCCTGCTCTGATCTCTCCTTCTGGGTCAGGCCTGATTTATTGGCAGTCTCCTGGAATTTAGCAAAGGGGCTCAAAATAAGTCCACAAAAGTCTTGCCCTTTAGCCTAAGACCAGGGGGAGGCCAGGCTGAGCTGTGATGCAACGCAAAGGTCCTGACAGAGGAAGGGAGGGAGGCAGGAGCTGTGCTGAGCTGCCCCTCCGGGCCCCACATGAAGGCCATCAAGGACCCAGAATGTGGCCAAAGTGCCCAGTTTTTCCATAAAAGCCCACATTCAGGTGTGGGGATGAAATTTCCAGATTTTTAATTTCTCAAACATCTTTTTAAGCTGGGTACGGTGATTCATGCCTGTAATTCCAGTCACTTGAGAGGCTGAAGCAGGAGGATTACAAATTCAAGCCCAGCCTGGACAATTTAGTTAGACCCTGTCTCAAAAAACAAAAAAGGTTGATGGCTGTGGCTCCCTGGTAGAGTACCTCTGGGTTCAACCCCCCAGTACAAAGAAAAGTTGGGGATAGGGACGTAGCTCGGTGGCACCGCACCTGCCTGGCAAGTGCAAAGTTCTGAGTTTGATTCCCGGTACCGCAAAAAATGAAAATAACTTGAGAGACTTTTATTGTTTTATTTATTTATTTTTCCCCTGTACCAGGTATCGAACCCAGGACCTTGTGCTTGCCAGGCAGGTGTGGTGCCACTGAGCCAAATCCCCAGCCCTATTGTTTGTTTGTTTGTTTGTTTTTGGTACCTGAGATCAAACTGGGGACCTTGCACTTGTGCTTTTGAGGCAGGCAGTGGAACCACTAAGCTAAATTCCTGGCCCTCCTATTGCTTCATTTACAGTGGTGGGGCTTGAACCCTGGGTCCCCTACCCTTGCACATGCTCCGAAAGTGCCCTAAAATTGAGCTACATTCTCAGCCCCCATTTTTGAGGTGCTGGGGTTTGAACATAGGGCCTTTACACTGCTCTCATTTTGAGACAGGATCTAGGCTGGGATCAAACCTGCAATCCTCTTGCCTCAACCTCCCAGAGTACTGAATCACAGGCGTGAGCACCACATCTAGCCCCTGCCCTCTTTTAAAATTCTGAAAAAAAAATAAAATAAATAAAATAAAATCCTGCGTGGACCAGCCAGTGCACACCTGGGCTGGCTCAGCCTCAGGGCCCACGCTCCTTCGTGAAGGGCTTCTGTGCTGTGAAAGGGGCTGCAGGTGCTACAGGAAGGCAGACAACAGGAGAGCAAAGCCTGGCTCCAGGACTCTGCCTCTCGAGGGATCCACCGGGGCCTTCTCACCTATGTGCAAACAGCATTTCCCACAGCTCTGGAAGCGCCCCACCCACCCCCTGTGGGGCAGGATCCCACCACCTCTGCTCCTTCATCTGCGGCTTTGGCCACAACCCTGATGTGGGGAGCCCAGGCCTTGCAGGTGGGAGGGAGCGGGCAGCAGAGCCCTGGGCACCGGGCCGCAGTGCACCTTCTCTGGGGCAGGCCCTCCCGGCCTGGCCACCTCCAGGTCTCCACTGGCCGGCCTGTGCAACCTGGTGACCAGGAATAGCGGGGTGGGAGGAGGGAGAAGCTCTCCTGGGAAAGCCAGGAGGAGTCAGGGCAGTGTGCCTGGGACCCGGCCTGAGCCCTGCCACCCTCTGGCTGGGAGACGTGGTCCAGGTGAGGTGTCTCGGTCCTCAACTTGCCCTCACCCTTTCTCTGTCACTTCCTAAGGAACCTCCCCCATAGCCTTCCAACAGATCAAGTTGCCCAACTCTGGGAGCTTTTCCTTCTATTTTGCGGTACTGAGGTTTGAACCCTTTGCACTGAACTATACCCTCAGCCCTTCTTTCTTTGCTGGCTTGTTTATTTATTTATTTATTTAGACAGAGTCTCACGATGTAATCCAGGGTTGGCCTCGACTCACTACAATCTTCCTGCCTCAGCCTCCCAAATGCTGGGATTACAGGTGTGAGCCACCACACTCAGCTACTCTGTCTTTTTTATCTCTTATTTTGAGAGGAGGTCTCACTAAATTGCCCAGGTAAGCACTCAAGCTTGAAATCTTCCTGCCTCAGCCTTCCTCAGTACTAGAATTACAGGCAGGCACTACCACAACCAGCTACCTGGGACTTCAGAATGCTCAGCAGAGTCAAGTTCTTTTTTTATTCTTATTTTTACCAGTCCATGTCTGTAGTACATAATGATTACATGCATTGGAGAATTGGTACACAGCACATCTTTTTTCTTTCCCCTTTCCTCTAGCACAGTCAAATTCATCAATGTAGATGTCAATTGTGTGAGAATCTTCCAGAAAGAATCTGAACTCAAATGGGCAAGGTGGCGCACACCTGTAACCCTAGCATTTTGGGAGGCTGAGGTGGAGGATCACAAGTTTGAGTCCAGCCTGGGCAATTTAGTCAAGACTTTGTCTCAAAAGAAAGAAAGACGGGCAGAGGATTTAGCTCAATGGTAACACCGCCTGCCTTGCGAGTGCAAGGTCCTGAGTTCAATTCCTGATATAAAAGGGAGGGGAGGGGAAAGAGAGAGAGAGAGAGAGAGAAGAGAGAAACGCATCTGAGGTATGTGATCAATTAATTTCTGGCACCTAGCTCAATCTCTGACACACAGGAGATGCTCAACAACATCTATTCAAGGAATGAACAATGAACTAATGATTTCATTTGTAAGTGTCACAGGGCTAGAAGTAGACCCAGGCGGCTCTTGCCTCCCCCAGGGAGCTGGGCTGCCACTAGGATTTTGCTCGTGATTTTTGGGTGGGGGGCTTTAGTGGGGTTTTGAGATCCTGGGGATGCACCCTGGGTTAAGAAACAGAACCAGAGGACTGGGAATTGGTTCTGCCACCTGCCCCTCGAGAGCGCAAGGTCCCTGGTACCAAAAAAAGAAAGAAAAAAAAAAAAACAGAACCAGAGCCGGCTACAGTTGTGCACACCTGTAGTCCCCACACTTGGGAGGCTGAGGCAGGTCAAGCGCCGTAGAAGGAAAGGTCACTCTTTAGGTTCCCACCTCTGCTTTTTTTTTGGAACTGGAGATCAAACTCAGGTCCTTGGGCTTCCGAACCACTAAGCTAAATCTCCAGCTCCCACCTCTGTTCTCGATGGAGCTCCAACCCCTCTCCTTCCCATCTACCTCTGCACCACGGGGGCTGACTTGGGACCTCAGGAGCAGAGCATCTATCCTTTTCCCCATTAACTTGCTGAAGCACCAGAGGATGACGGAGTATGTGCCAGTGTGTGCTTCCAGATGAGGGTGGCCGGAGGATGGGGGCTCAGGAGGATGGCTGGGTCCAGCTGTGGGCAGGCTGATGACCCAGGGACCTGGGGTGAGGCGGGGCACATGGCTGAGAGGGGGCAGCCAGCAGCCAGCAGTTGTGGAAGAACCAGCAGATTGCTGCCCATACCTGGCCTCCACCGCTGGGGCCCAGGGCATCCCGGAGGCTCGGCTCCCACACCCGGCTGTACCTCCTCACCCTCCCGGGCTGGACTCTCCTCCTGGGCACTGCCACTTCAAGTGTCGGCACACGGCCAGAGGGTTCACCACAGCTCCGCTTCCCAGAACTGCTCAGCTACCCTGGGGTCCATTCCTTAGGGCAGGGCAGGTACCGCCCAGCAGGGGCTTCTGGGCAAACAGAAACTTTTCCTGCCCCAGCCCCGGACAGAGCAGGCCTTGTTGGTTTAGGGTCAGAAGAGATGACTGGCCGAAACCGGCTGACAGCTGACCACCCCCACTCCCCACCCCCAACGCAGAGCTTGAACCAAACTGGGATTCTTCTCGGATGGGGTGGGAGGGTCCCCCTTCTCCACCCTCTGGGCGCCCTCCTCCAATCGCCCAAAGTCACCTCTGTCAGCCCTCAGCAGGCCCCAGAGGGTGGAGGAACGGCCGGGAGCAGGGGTCCCGGCCAACCCAATCTCCAGAGGGCACCAGGAATCTGAGAAGCCCGTGGGTGAGTGGGTGGGTAAAGTGTTTTCTTTCCCCTCCCCTCCTCAGCAGATTTCTGGGAAATGCCAGAGGCCGGCTGGGCCTGGAATGTCAGGCTTGAAAGGACTCTCCCATTGCCGCAAACCTTTTCATTAGCTCCGCAGCCCCTCCCGGCAAGAACAAAGGCCCGCAAACTGGAACAGCGCTTCCCGACCTCAGGCCATTGTCCCTGCCTCCCCGGCCCGCCCTTTGGGTTTGTCTCGAGCAGGAAAGGGAGAGAGATCAGGGTGGACCTCAGCCCTGGGGGAGCCACAGGTCCTCGCTTGGGCATCTTGGTGAGACGCGAGCCGAGAAGAGGACGAGAAGCTCCCAGCGGAAGGAACCAGATTTTGTTGTCCCTCTCCGTGTGCCCAAGGGGCTGCAGACTGCAGACATGCTTGAGGCAGGGGGACCAGTGTGTGGCCGGCCACCTCCTCCTGCCTGAGGGAGCCCAGGGTCAGCCGAGCAGTGCTGTGGTCTGAGGCCGGTCTTCTCACCCTCGGGCTGCGGATGGGGCCGCCCTGGCAATCTCAGCGCTCTCCCCGGCCAGCCCAAAGAACGGCGCCCGGTGCTCGCCCAGCAGTGCCCGCTTCCGGTGAGCCCTTGGGCTGCCGGGGTTCCTGCCCATCTGTGAGGTTTGGGGAAGCGCGCAGCGCCCGTCATGTGAGTGGAGGCTGAAACCACTCTGTACTTCCCCTGTAGCGTGAGTGATTATCTTTATGACCAAGCAAGCACCTTTGCCTGGAAATGGGGTTCCTACTTCACAGAAGGTCTGTAAAGGGAGCGATTAGGAAAAGGCCGGTCTCCTAAATCTCCAGACGGGAAAACAGTGGGACGGAGCCAAAGGGCCCAACCTGGAAAGCGCTCTTTCCCACCATAGAGCCACTGGGCCCATTGGGGAGCTGAGACGCGGCAGGACCACCTCTGTCCCAGGTCTTGCATCTCTCCACTCCGGTCCTGGCCTGGAAGTGGGTTCCTGGAAATGCACCCTGCATTGCTCCGAGTGTCCCCTCCCACTCCTCCAGCGTGTTTGTCTTCAGATCAGCAGCGAACCACCGGTGGCTTCCCAGAACCCCCTCCCTCCGTCCTATCTGGGTAGCTGTTCCTGAGCCCTGCAGGGAGAAGCCAGAGGCTGCTCCCCAAGAAAGCAGGTTGTGACATGGCACCAGGATGGAAAGCAGACCCAGGGAGCACTTCTATGTACCAGGCTCCAGGATTACAGAGAAAGTAAGTCTCTTTTGTGGAGTCTGAAGCAAGAGGATCATCAGTTCGAGGCCAGCCTGGGTAATTTAATGAGACCTTGACACAGAATGAAAAAATAAAGCCAGGGGCCAGGGAATTTAGCTCAGTGGCACTGCACCTGCCTCTCAAGTGCAAGGTCCTGAGTTTGATCCCCAGTACCAATAAATAAATAAATAAATAAATAAATAAATAAATAAATAAATAAAGCAAGCCAGCTTTAGGGAATTGATTATGTTAAAGTGCGCTGTGATGCCGCCTCACAGGCTGCATTCTCCGGGTACTTCTTGACTCCTAAAATGACCTCATAACCCTTATCTCTGGTTTCCCTCCCCCCAAGGCCACAGTGGTCCAGAGAAGTTGAAACCTGTGTCTGCAGGGCTGGACCCATAAAAGCAACCTGGCCTGTGATAGGTTAGAAGCAGCCCACACCTCATTAATAATCAATAGCTTAGCCCAAAAGTAATAAAAGGACCTGCCCTTGTTTGTTCTTCCGCCCCTTCTACCTCTCTGCTCCTGCTTCCTGAATAAAATCTCCAGTCGGACCTCTGGGGTGTGTGTGTGTGTGTGTGTGTGTGTGTGTGTGGCCTCGTTGTTGAGCGTCTCTGGAAACCTTTCAGCCAGGTCTCCCAGCTACTTGAGAGGCTGAAGCAGGAGGATCTAACATCGAAGGCCAGCCTGGACAATTTAGGGAGATCCTGTCTCAGAATAAGATAAGGATTGGGCTCAGTACCCCCTGGGTTCAATCCTCAGTACCATAAATTAAATAAAGAAATAGATCCAACTTTTGCAGAACTCGGGACCTTGCACTTGCCAGGCAGGCACTGGCACCACTGAACTAAATCTCTGGCCCCTGGAGATCCATCTTGATGGTAGAGCACCTGCCTAGCACATGGGGAGCCCCAGGTTCGATTCCCAGCAACACAGAAAGAGAGCAGGGCAGTGGGGGGAGCATTTTGGTTCGTGTGGAAAGGGCTGCCCAGAAAGTTTCAAGGAAGTGTCCAACAAATCTCAGAGGAAAAACTTAGGCCTGGAGGAAGTGGCACCCCTCAGAGAGCCCCACACATCTGGAAGTCAAGCTGCCTCGAGCAGGGAGGCTGACAGTCCCTGCACTCCCAGGGCACACACTGCTGTGTCTCTCTCCACGGCAAGGGAAACCCCAGGAGAAATTAGAAAGCCAAAGGAAAATGGGTGGCTGGTTCAGGGGTTTGAAGGCCAGCAGCCTCCTGCAGGCACCTTGTGCAGCACTTGTCCACTCCCCCAAACACAGTGGGGTACATCCATGCCCTCGTAGCCCAAGCTGCTTCTCCTCCTCTCTCCAGACCCCTCAGTGCTTTCTAGACAGTGAGAGCTGAGGCTGGGCATATGGCTCAGTAAGAGTTCATGCTCAGCGTGCTTGAGGCCCTCGGCTTCTTGTTTTTCTTGGTTTTTTTTGTTTTGTTTTGTTTTTGTACCAGGGATCAAACTCAGGACCTTGTACTTGTGAGGCAGGTGGCTGCACCACTGAGCTAAATCCCGGGCCCTCAGCTTCTCTATCCAAGTAATTAATGTTTTTTGTGGCTGAGTTTTGCTACATAGTCCAAGCTGGCCTCAAACTCAGAATCTGCCTGCCTCAGCCTCCTAAGTGCCACCAAGAATCAAACTCCAGATCTTTCACTTTTGAGGCAGGTGGCTGGACCACTGAGCTAAATCCCTGGCCCAAGGCTATGTGATTAATCCTTGGTTCAAGAAGACAAAAGAGAACTGGCTGGGCATGGTATTTTATGCTGTCATCCCAGCACTGAGGAGGCTGAGGCAGGAGGATTGCTGTGACTTTGAGACCAGCCTGGGCTACATGGTGAGTTCAGGGCCAGCCTGAACTACAAAGGGGGGAGGGGAGGAAGGGAAAAAGAGAGAGAGAGGAGAAGGAAGGAAAAGAAAAGAAAAAGAAGAGCAGAGTAGAGGAAGGGAGGGGAGGGAGGAAAAAGTCAGTGTGGTGCAGCCTATGGTGAGCCTGTGGCACAGCTGGTGAAGTAAGTTGCCTAACGTCACACAGCTACAGGATGCTATTCCAGAGAGCAGGCCAATCTTCTGAAGCAGTAGGGAACTTGGCCTGGTTTTCTTTTTCTTTTCTTTCTTGTTTTTGTTTTTGTTTTGAGGCAGGGTCTGGAAGTGTAGTTCAGCCTGGCCTCCAACTCATGGCGATCCTCCTGCCTCAGGCTCAGCCTCCTGAATGCTGAGATTACAGGTGTGCACCAGCACACCAAGCTTTTCGTTTGTTTCAATCTTTTTATAGTACAGGAGATTGAACTCAGGGCATTCCCACCAGGCTACATTGCCAGCCCTTTTTAAATTTTGAAGCAAGGCCTCCCTCAATTGCCCATCTGGGCTTGAGCTTGCATCCTCCTGCCTCAGTCTCCCAAAATGCTGGGATTACAGAAACGTGCTACCTCTCTTGGCTTTGGCCACCTTTTACCTCCTGCCCTGCCTTTCTCCATCTTTAGGCCCCACCAGAGCAACCCTGGGAATGCCAGCTGCCCAGCCCCTCCTCTGCTCTTTCGTTGTATTTTTGTTTTGTTTGAGGCAGGGTCTCACCATGTAGCCACAGCTGGCCTGGAATTCACAGAGATTCTCCTGACTCAGCTTCCTGAATGGCTAGAATTACAAACATGCACCATTATCCCTGGCCCTCCTCTACTCTTTCAAATGCCTGCTACCCTCTTGGCCCCACCCTGAGCTGACCTGACCCTACCCCAAATCCCGGCCCTGTGCTGTTGCTGTAGTTTTAGGATTTACCTGTGTCAGAAGAACAAGCCTCTCCAACCAGACTTGGATTCCTGGGCTCCGGGGCTGCTCCCCCCCACTGGCCTCCTGGGACACAGTTGCTACCTCAGCCTCCGTGGCACTCCCCTCTGGGGCATCTGGCTGGTCTTCCCGCAGGGCCTGCCCTGTGCCTGGTGAAGGCAGGCACTCAGTGAGGATTGGGGAACGGATGAATGAATTTGACTTCTATCAGAGCTGTGTAATTTACAAAGCACTTTCCCGGTCCATTAACTCGGGGATATTCCCTGGGAGTCCTCCCTGTCCTCCGCCCAGTAATGCGTGGTCACTGCAGCCGCGGAACTCTCCCGGGTGAGAACCAGAACTCTGACTGCAGTCAGGGAGACTCCGCTGCAGGAGCCAGCAAGCCCTAAGGACAGATCACCACTGTGTTGCCTGGCCCCTGCTCTGCACTCTCCACCTCCAGGCTGTGTTTGTGGATCCAGCCGAACAGAACCATTTCCCCTCTATGTGTGTGGTACCAGGAATTGAGCCCAGGGGCTTCACATCCACAGCCCTTTAAAAATCTTATTTTGGAGCCGGGCATGGTGGTGCGCGCCTGTAATCCCAGCACTCGGGAGGCTGAGGCAGGAGGATCGCTGTGAGTTCCAGACCAGCTTGGGCTACACAGTGAGTTCCAGGTCAGTCCAAACTACATAGTGAGACCCT